CCCTGCCTGTGAAGCAAAGAGAAGGCATTCCGAAGCCATTCTCTGACACAAGGGCCCTGTTCCGCTGCTATACATGATACGCCTTGTTGGGGTCACCTGCGGGCATCTCGAACTACTCATCAATCCGCAGCTGAGTGGTTGTCCGCACAAAACAGGACATGGGTGTGTCATTCTTTTTGCGGGTACCCTTTTTGGGGCTGGCTTAAAGGTTGAAACAGGGACACCACATTTCTTGGGGGCTTCCTCAAAACGCAACACAGACCCCATGCCCCATCCCGAGCTCCATGCGCAGCCAGGCGAGCAGAGCCAGCATCTGCTGCCATCCTTCGCCAGTGGGGTGCTTGTGGCACGTGAGAGGAGAAGCGGATTGTCTCCTCTGGACTGCCCTCAGATCCCCCGCTAAAAGTGTAACTTTTAGTGGGTTAATGGAAGCTGCCACTAAACACTAAAAAACCAAAAGGCTAAGGAACCGGATGGCTGGGAGCCACCAAGTCCTGTATGCTCTGGGCATCTCCGAGCTTCTTTCAAAGTCGGGGGCCGGAACTCTCGCTGAACATGGCCGACTTGCGGCTTTCCTTTTCTGAAGCCACGCTGTCTTCCGGCAAGAAGGAACCAACTTTGGACCCTCCGTCGTCGAAAGGACTGCATCTTCTACAAGTCCCAAAGTTGAAAGGGATCCCCTAAAGGAACCACATGGCTTTCGCTTGATTTCGCCGATGCGAATCGGTGGAATCGCTCGACACCCAAATAGGCAGACCAAGCTACCCGGCCTGACAACGCCTCGCAGGCCGTCCCGAAGCTCCTGCGCCGGCCAGCGCAAGCCGCTCGCGCCATCCAGTTCGACGTGCAAAAATCGATCCCCATGAGTCTCACTTCCGAACGAGTGGATTGGCCAGAAAAAGTATCCAAACGTTTTGTTCACCACCAGTTGTCGAAGACCAACAAACTCTGAAGTCCAGGAACCCAGCAAGTGAGGAGGAGTCGAGTTTTGAGGCCGAGGCAGCATGTCGCGGGGCCCGGTCTTGAGCCTCAGGTTCCCAGAAGGCTCGTTGGACGGAAACTCCGCATGTCATTTCTGGATTGGTGGGAAGCCCCGTGGCCATGGATAGGTTACTCTCTACAACAACCAGGAGGCCAAATCCTAAGCCACGAATCCGAACAACTAGGGGTCGCCTCAAAATTTAAACTGGGTGTCGAACATCGCCTTGCCTAACTACCTAAAGCTACCTGAAAATGAGGGATCCGGAAAAACCAAGAAAAAAACCAACCCCTAACTCAACATGCTGATGGCTATTTAGCACCCAGTGCTTTGTCCAACATGTATGGTGTCCAGGAAATCTGGGAGTGAGGCAGCTACCATAGTTTGATGAACATGCGCCACCTTTCCAAAAGGAACGCTTCCGTCTTCCGAGATGGTGTTCTTTTTGCCCTGCCTTGTAGTTGTTGTTTGTTTGTGGAAGCGTGCGAAAACAGCTTGTTTGTTCCGGAACACCCCCCCTTTCACAAGCCAAGCGCAACTGAAGTCCTTGCCAAGACCGACCATAACAAAGGCATCGTCTCAAATCACCAATGGCAAACAAAATCCCACCAATTGGCATGGAACCTGAAAGGGGGTCCCTTTAAGAAAATTGTCTTCCCCCCCCCCAGTGTCAGGTTCCATGTTGATTGGTGGGAGTGTCAATCCTGAGGCATTTAGATAGCTGAGCATCCAGCAACTCGATCGCAACCTCCCACTGCTGACCTCACTCGTGCATGGTGACACTCAGCCAGTGTTCTGCGTCAGGTTTGCATTCACCTGCGCATGTGTGTGTGTGTGTGTGCCACAGCGGCCGCCATACCCTGTCAAGGCCAACTTCCTCACGTGGCAAAGGCCAGATTAGCCTCCGCAGCTCCATTGGCAAATGATTTCTTCAAGTAGCGCTTCTGGGCTGCAGCCTAGGCTGAAGGGCCTACCGCTCAATGTGATACCAAAGTCCACTCTGCCGTCAAGGTATCACAGAAACGGCACAACCTTGTGCCACCAAGGCAAACGCACAGACTTGTACTGCACTCATGTAAATTTGTGGGGGCCTTCTCTGACCTGCACAGGTCATGAAGCAAGGACCTAAATAATTAGGAGTGGGCTAAGGTAGGCTAGAACCCAGCCCCCAGCCCCATCCTCCGTAACCCCGAATTTTATACGGAAACCTGCCTTTGCAACTGGTTTTTTGGACATGTTTCGGGAACGCATCTTGTTTGAGAGAGCCCATTCTCCGAGAATCCGCTTAACCCCCCCCCCCCCCCCAAACACGTAAAGTCCAACAAAAAAGGGAAGTGAGGAACTCCCCCTGTTCCTTGTTTTTTGTGGACCGCATTTCCCGTCCCGACACCAGCCCCCCCCCCTTCCCCCTGCTCTGGGCGAGCCCCCGGCCCGCGGCGCAGGCGCCCAGGGCGGCGTTGCAAAGCGCGACGCTGCGCTCGGCGGCGCCGAAGATGCGGAGGGCGAGCTGCCAGCTCTGGCCTAGCTGCCGTTCCAAGCTCGATAGCCACTACCCTCAGGGTACTTGGAAGGGGAGCAACAAATGTCAAGTTTTTGCAAAAATGCAAAATGCTTCTCAACAACCATGAGAAGATTCCGTTCCAAGCTCGATAGCCGCCACTGTCAGGTGATCAGGGCAGCAACTTTTGCTTCAGGCCCAATTCTTCAGTTTCATTGGTGGATTGGATAGGTGGAAAGCCCAGTGGCCATGAAAAGAGAGTCTCATCGTGGTGGGTTGATTTGTAAGGGCTCAACTTCCTCCGTTTGGAGCTCTGTGGTGCGGTGGTGAAGTGGTGGATTCCCATTGAGCCAGGTGCTCCAACTCTGAAAATTGGGCTTGGCGCTAAATGAAGACTCCCAAGATACGGCGAGCTTCCTCTTGGCTTCCCTTTACAGCCAACTTCATAATCCAATTCACCAACTAAGGGTAACCTGATAGGTGCTGCTTTTGACATGGCATAGGGAGCCAACCAAAACATAAGGAACCAGCAAGACAATTATAGTCTCACTTGACTGGGTGGCCCCAGAAAAACAAACTTTTTGTTTACCACTAGAATGGTCTTCCACAACCCCTGTCGCTCGCAATCCGGCTTGTCTCCACACAGGGCGAACCATCAAGACATGCCCCCCCCCTCACAAGCGGCAACCTTCTCAGTCCACCATTTTACCCCAGACAGTAGAATAGAAAGCTCGCCGAGCGGTGATGTTTCCATCCCAAAGTGAAGTCTAGGAGGTCCTGTTCGCACTACATCCATTGGCTTCAGAATATGTTCTGTTTTCCCCTGCTGGTTCGATTCAAAGGGAATCTAGCACTACTGTATGCGTAACAAACCGTTGATGTGGTGTTTTTTTTCCGGGGGACTTAAGCAAATGAAGGACTACCTTGTTAAAAGGTCGCATAGTGAAAAAAAGGCTGAGGAATGCAGCCTTTGCCCGGCGCGTGACAGGGTGGCACCCCCTCGTTTGGCTCATGCTTTTGGACTAAGACCACAAATCCTGGACGTTGAACTTTTTGGGGAGAACGTGCTTAGAGGCTTAAACTGCCTTTTGGGGCACGACGTCGCAAACCAAACACCTTTCCCCGTGGTCGCTATCAGCTGAGAATTGCCAGCATGCCAACAAAGAATGGCTTTCTTTCAGATGCGCGCACATGACATTTGTGCAAGACATCGGACCCCACGGCGCCTGCCACCTGTTTGAGACTTCATTGTGGCCGCCGGAGTGAGTCCAGTCTGGTCCAGTCCCCCTCCATCGGCGCGGGGGCTTTTTTTGGCTTCAACGGTAGGATCCTCTGCCAAGCGCCTCGGCCTCCGGTCATTTGGCTCGGTCGCCGAGAAGGCTGGAGAAACCTCTCTTGGACCTAGACCCATCCACGGAAGCGACCCATTTGCTAGCAGTGAACAGGTCAACTTTGCCTTGCTTCAATCCAGGCCCGCTCAGCTGAATAAAGCAGCCCGGGAGGTGAAACTGGCGCGACACCTGCCAATGGCAAGTTGCGCCCGCGCCATTTGGTGCCACTGAGCAACTCGGCCGTTCTTTCGCAGATGGCCCGCCGGTGCGCAGGAAGCGAACGTCGCAGCATGCGCGACAGCCACTGGACAAGCTTACATTTGGACAGTCCTGGATTTTAGGGGGAGTTGTTTTCGTTAGGGTTGTCGGTAAGTAGTTTTTGGATGTTTTGATTGGACAAAAAGGCCAAACACATAGCCGTTTGCCTTTCTTTCATTCACAACGGGCTGTTGAGCAGGCCGGTTGTTCTTGTCCATGGCTCGTGGTACTTCGGAAGCCTTTTGGCCCCTCTGATCCTAATCGGTCCAAGCCCCATCCCGACTGCTTCCCAGCTCCAACATTTCCCCCCCTACATCAGCCCACTTAAAGGAGGCGTTCCGTCTTTGACAAAGAAAAGCGCTCAAAGGCATGATGCGCAGCCCCTTCTTCCCCACGTTGAACACAGCTCCAAGCCAAGCCGATGTGGAGCCTAAGCAGGTTTCCCTCACGGGAGGCAAGTGGCCAGGGGATCAAAGGGCACTCTCTGCTTGGGTTGGTTTGTAAGACCACAAATTAGGGTTGCCTGAAGGATAGCCCTGCCCCGAAAAGAAAAACACGGTGCCACTGGGCAATTGGGATGGGACCGCGTGCTCAAGGCTCACAAGCATCCTGCGATGAGGCCCTTGTCGTCGATGGTGAACGCAAAGTCCTCAGCTCGCTGCGCCATCTGCGGAAGCGCGTCCTGGCTTCAAACGATCGTCTGTTTGAGGGTAACGTTAACCCCGGATTAATAAACCCCTGGTTGATTAATCGGGGGGTGTCCCCTTTCAGTGGGGATGCATCACTTTTGGAGGGAACACCCCCCTAATAATCTGGGTCAACATTACCCTTTTTTTGGCCCTGGTCCACGTGTCGGGGTCCCCGTAGTTTGACGCATATCCAAATGCGCTTATAATCTGTGGTTTCGAGCCCGGTGGTTTGGTGTGCGGGCTTCTCATTTGACAGGCCATGGGGAGCCGACAAGAAACCTAGGGAGCCAGAAACATAAGTAACGTTTTGCTGGAGTGGGTGGCCCAAAAAAAGTCTAAACTACTCTTTGCAACCCTTGGCATGGTAGCGCAAAACCTCATTTCTTGTAGCTCCCTCTGAAAATGGACAAAACCCCAAAACCAGACACGAAAAGCCTAGAAGCTTGATCCACCAACAGTGAAGCACCTTCTACTGCCCACCACCCCAAACCAACACTGTACCTGCTAGACGTTGCTTTTGACTGGCCACAGGAACCATAGGGAGCTTCCTTACCGCCAGAATGCCCGAACCACCCATCCAAAGCAACGAAAACCAAATAACCGCAACAATGGTCCAAGAACAGTGAGGCGCTATGCAAAAAAAGAAAGAAAAACGCAAGACAACGCCACTCACCAAACCAAGGAAGGGCTACCCTTGGGAGCAAAAAACTAAATTCTGGCAGTCAAGTGGGGATTCCAACCACCAAACCACAGCAAGCAAACATGTAAAATGCCTCCCAACAACAACCATGCACCGGCGACCTGTCCTTGATCACGTTTAATTCCTTCTGGAGCTGCTCGATGGACGGGTCCTCAACCCGAAACGATAACGATCGGGGTGTGTTTCAATTCGGGGGAGTGGACCCCGCCCGAAAAAGACGAGAAACAGAAAAACACGCACCATTCATTGTGGCTCTTGTATCTAAGAGCGAAATAGAAAAGCCACAGCATTGTAAGTAATTATTGCTTTCTGCGTCGCAAAAAGGAGGGGTCCCCTCAAACCTTGATGGCTTTACCCTTGGTTGCCCGTTTTCAGCCCAACAAAAGGGACCTCCAGGAACCTGATACTCACTTCGTTGGTGGTGCCCAAACTGGGCAAGAGCTCCCATGGTCCAAACTGAAAAGCTGAGCAAGTCCGAAACGGAACTCAGGAAGTGAGTTGTGGGGGTGGAGGTCCCCCAATTCCAGTTACATCTAGTATTCCCCAAAGGGAAATGGGTTCCCATACATGGGAGTCCCTCCCCCAACCAACTATTTTTTAAAAGGTCTCACTTCCGTGGATTGGCCCAAAAAAAATTACCCAAACTTCTTAACAAAGATGGCAACCAATCTGGAAAAAGTGACTAAATACCAGGAACTCCGGAAGTTACAGCTACCCCAAAAGCAAAAGGCAAAAACGGCTCAAAAACGGACAATCAGCGCAAACACAGCTTGGTTTCCCACTAAAGAGCTCTGAAAGCGAGCCCAACAGGAACCCCTGCCGTCTTTTTCCCCCAGAAAACGCTTCCCCCAGGAAGAACAAAAAAAACCGCCGGACGGCCGCCGGACGGATTCGAAGCGCCTGCAGCATCTTCAGGGTCTTGCAGCAGCTCCGGGCATCCCCGCTGGCCCAGAGCAGCTCGGTGATCGCGGTGCGCTCCGTCACCGAGTCCCCGATGGACAAGACGTTGCTCCAAGGGTTCTTGCCGTAGAGCTTCTTCAGGACCTTCTTCCTGGGACTTTCGGGTTTTCAGGACCTTCTTCCTGGGATCTGGGAGGTTTTCCGGACCTTCTTCCTGGGATCTGGAATTTCTTGGTTCTCATTCTCTCACCGGTGGAAGCATGACTTCGTGGGATCTGGAAGTTGGTTCCCGTTTTCTCACGCTGAAGCCGAGGAGTGGCTGGTGGAAGCATGTCTTCCTGGATCTGGAAGGTTTCGGTTGCTTTCTGCTGCTAAAAGTGACCAACTTTTAGCGGTTTTAATGGGAAAACCCACTAGTTGGCAAAAGTTAAAGTCCTAACATCCAAGCAAAATGCACCAAAGGAAGGTTTCGGTTCTCGTTCTCTCACCGGTTCTCGTTCTCTGACCCTGAAGCCGAGGGTGGCTGGTGGAAGCATGTCTTCATAGGAACTTGGGGTTTTGGTTCTCGTTCTCTCACCCTGAAGCCGAGGGTGGGGGGTGGAAGCATGTCTTCCTGGGATCTGGAAGGTGTTGGTTCTCTCACTTTGCTGGTTAAACAGGGGGCATGAAGATTACCAAAGGTAGACTTAGACCGGTTGGAAGAAACATGAAGGACGTGAAGGAAACCAGGGGTAGACTTTAGACGTGGTTGAAATGGACAATGAAGGTTTCCAAGGATTGAGAACCTCCTTGGCATGAATTGATCAATTTGACCCGGTGCCCTGCTAACCCTCAAAATTGGTTCTCCTATACTTAATGGGTACCCTTGAACAAAAGCCAGCCGTAAGAAAAACAAGTCCAAGTCAAGCTTCATCGCCTGCTCCTTGGCCATGGTCAAGGGGCAAACCCCTTCCTCGAACTCGCCATCCGGACTCCGCATCATGTGCTTTTTCACGCACTCCCTGGAGTAAATCACTGGGATGGAGAGCTCCTGCGGAGCTTCACAGCTCGAAAGGTAAACGAGTTGGAGCCCTTTTGAACGCTTCAAGTGATGAACCCAAGGCTGACCCCAGCTGAACCGGATGCCGGAAAGCCGCGCCGAAAAA